ACGAAGGCAATGTTGTTATTTGTGCCCTGTCTTCCTAAGTTTTTATTTAAGTTTTCGCCCCAATGTGATATTATTATTGGCTAAGTCCTACTCTAATGGTCTACAGTTTTTGTTTGATTATTTGTTATACATTTAGACTGCCTATTTTTAGTCTTATCAAAGTCTCCGCTTTCCTCAGCTGTTCCCTATTCTTTTCAAACTGAATTGTGTTTTTCTTTGTAACCAATGTGAGCTGAGTGACTTACATACAAACATTCAGAAAGAATGGCAAATATACATGGACTATAAGCGGTCGTGTCAGGATGAGCCTCGGTTTGTCAAAACTTGTGCACCAATTTCCCATGGCTGAAAGTTAGAGCCTGGGACCAAAATCATTTCAGCATGCAGTCAGGTCGGTCTACTACCCTGCCCACCTATTCCGTCCTTGTCAACAAATATAACCATAAGAAAGACACTACATTCTTTACATTAACACATTCAATAGGGTAAATCTGTTTCCTGTTGTCCTCATATTCACCGGCGATCTTCATTCTGCCTCATCTGTATCGTAACGACAGAAAAACAACAAAACAACAACAACAACAACAAAAAATACCAAGAACAAGCACCCAACATACCCAAACAATCAAAATGCGACCTAACATTTATCAAAGACATAGCATTATTTACCCAACAGTGAGTTCCATCAAACAAGATACTTGTCTAAGACTCACAGCTCTCTTGAGGTCGGAGATACGGAGCCAGGAACAGTCTTCCTTCAACCAGCCAGTCCTTATAGATAAGTCTTCGCGTTGTAGAACCCACGGATCTTTCAGTCCATGGCAGACCTGTATGTGCCCCAAGAGAAAAAAAAAAGGGAGAAAGAAGGTTCACGTTAATATCAGGTATAATATACAATGTTGACTTGATTCATACTATACTGTAATATAGAACCAAGTGAAAACATAGCGGCCTTTTCCAACCCTGTACTGGGAAGACAACTAAATTTACATGTACTACTAAATGTACACCAGGGTGAAATTATTACACATCAACTGGCTCGTTCATTCATTCGTTTGTTTTTCCATACAGTCTGGTCTTCAAAGCTGGTGAAAGAGCCAAGAAGCAGTCTATTTTCTTCCAAAAAGACATTGTCCCGACGTTGGACTGAAAATGACTGTGGCGATCCTGAAACAGAGAAACAAGAATAGCAGGAAATTCACAAGCTTGAGTATCACATATTAGACGTGTGCATTTCGTACATACATTGTTGGAATATTAACCATTGCAATAGACATTGTTTAAACCTTTAGTGATTTTCTAAGTGTGTGTGCGAGGAAAGGACGACAATATGGCCAATGTTTTGTTTTGAATAGTGAAACTCTTTATTCAATGTACTCAATGTACAATGCACAATTACATCTTGAGCATCATGAACAATTTCGTACCTTTACATGCGTTATAAAGAATGTTTAGACCTGAGTGATTTTCTAAGTGTGTGTGCCAGGAAAGGACAACAACATGGCCAATGTTTTGTTTTATTGCAAAACAGTTTATTCAATGTATTTTTTGGAAAATGTACAAGTACATATTGAGCATCATGAACAATTTGTTATCTCCATAACCTTTACATAAATTATAAAACCTTATAAGATTGTTAATGTTTTAGAGACAATTTGACTAAGCTAAACTGTGTGTGTGTGAATACAGACAGTAGAAAGATACGATATAGTAACGTGGGGGGGGGGGGGCTAAAAAAAGGACAAGCGCTACAATTAAACCCATAAGGCACCCGGGGGTTCGGCACGAGCCTAACAAACTTTATATCATTATTTACAAACTACTACATAACATAATAGTACCCCAAAACTACGCACCCTTCCCAGATGGGGCAAACAAAAAGCAAAACTATGAGTTGGACCTAAACCCCAGAAATACTATTATAGCAAGCGAGTCAGACCCCCCTATTTATGTATGGGGGAGAAAGATATGTTAATACACGAAAGTCTAAATGACTACCTAATTCTTATAATAATCCATCAAATTCCTAAGAAGAATCTAAGGAATTCTAGATGGATTTTAGTGGTGTCAATTCACATATGTTCTGACAATTAGTAACATAAAAATGCAGAATTCTATCGTGTTTGTGTTCGTGCGTGCGAGTGTTTGCGAAAGAAAGACACAAGTTGCTGCACTGTAAGATTTCTTTGTGTTGAAAGATATCTGAATCGAATCGCGCTGCATCATATTTTCAAGTCTCCAGAGTTTTCGCGAGTTACTTTTATAAAACGCACGAGTTAAAACTATACAACGTTTACATCTAAAACACGAACGTTTTACAACTATTACAACGTCGCAAGATGCCCCGCGCACAGCATATCTAAAATAACAACAATTCAACCATTGATATACAAAAGCAACCACGTGAAATGCCACCACTAAGATTCTACCCAAGATTTCGTGGAATTTTGGCAGTTCCATGAAAACTGGTTAACTTCTAGACAGTAAGTAAGGAATGTCGTGTACCACTCACAACATTCCTTACTTGTTCACCCATCCAATTCCACAAAAGTAAAGTCTTGGGAATTCTATGGATTTTAACATGACATGTGATATAATACATGTACATCAAATCAAGAAAAAAGGTTTTCCGCGCCGCAAGCCGAATTACAACTATACAACGTTATATCGCACGAGTTACAAATACAGAACGCGCGAATTTCAGATACACGCGAAACGCACGGGTTACGTCTATACAACGCACGAATTTTACTGGTATATACACAAGGCACGAGCTACTTCTATACAACGCACGAATCTTTTTGTTGCTAAGGCAACTGTCTGCCTTTCCAGAAAGATGCGCGCACTGCAAGCGAGTCTAGTTGCGATATAAAAGGCAAATCTTTACACGAGGTAGGAAAATAAGAGAAACGCAAACTCACCCCGCCATGCTGCAAGCAAAACTTCGGACTGTACGGGGATTCCTGATTTACCTGACTTCGGACTGTTCCATGTTTCTACTGGTAAATGATTACGTCACACAAACAAAGGATGTTCGTTGCACTGCCCAAACGGCGACGCAAGGAAAGCTATAATCACGTTTTGTATTAGTTGCAACAGGTATTAAATGTGGTTAATGACAAACCCACATTTATTTCTTTGTAAATTAAGAACTAACAATATATCCATCCCCCTATTTAGGCGCAAACAATGGTTCCACCCACCATAGCCGTTTCAACTGTGTATGTAAATGTACCCAGTTTGTTAGGAAAACTCCAACAGCTGGCTTCAATCTTCTCTGACCAATCAGAGGCCATATATAAATGAGGCAATTAGTGGACTAATGAAATATTTCGTTATTTAGAAGCCCAGGCTAAAAACTGTTAAAAGTTTAAATATATTTCAAATACCTCCAGATAGAGACACAAGAACGGTCAAACATTTCACGGAAAACAACACTTTTACATATTGTGTTTTTATGAGTATCTTTTACTCAGTATTCAAACAACACGAAAGGCATGAAATGGGGCATCACAGTTATACACCCAGTCTCCATGCCGATGTACAGCTTTGGGTTGTTAGAATTGGTGAAGCGTCTAGTAAAAAAGCGCACCACTAGAATAGCCTAAAAACTTCGTGAAAAAGTTTTACCCACCTACCAAGTTTCATGACAATACATATAAAGCTTCTTGAGTTATGCTGTTCACAAACAAACGGACAAACGCTACCGGACAATCGATGGGGTCGCGTGGCGTAGCGGCAGCGTTCTCGACTCGGAACCAGAGGCCCCGGGTTCGAGTCCTGACATGCCACCGATCTTGTGCCCTTGGGAAACATGGGAAAGGCACTTGACACGACTTTCCTCACTTCGCTCAGGTGTAAATGAGTATTGTACTGTCCCTGTGTTGGTGTCGGCATTAATATAAGTTGAAAAAACTTGAGTGTGTCGTCACCACGTCTTGTGATTACATGTTTCGGAATAATAAAAAAAAACGCTACCGAAAACATAACCTTCTTGGCGAAGGTAATGACCCCAGGTTAAAAGTTAAATGACGCCACCGGAGGTTTATCGATGAATGAAACTGTCAGTATGTATAATATTTATAGCCACAGTTATCATCACTCATGGACAGTTTGGTACGTTGAGACCACCGGTGTTAAATCTGCCTGGGGAGATATGGTATAAATCAACGATTGCCTTGAGGCGGGTTTGTACACAATGTCTCAGTGTATCCTGGGTACCATCCTACTTGTATGCCGGGGCTCCCACACTCGCTTCCCTAACAACGAGTGTGGGAGCCCCGGTATACAAGTAGGATGGTACCCAGGCTAAGTAAAATGGAGATCTATCTCTTTAAACCTTACAAAAATTTTGTCTTACAACCCAGGGTAGCCAAGAGGAGAGATCACAGCCTCTCCTAGCTTCCTAGAATAGAGGAAGTGTGCCAGGTGTGGCGGTAACGGTGGAGGAGGGTTGGGCTTTAGAATTAAGTGTTCAAAGTTGCAATCGAACCACAGGAAGAGGGTTTATAGGGTTGGGCAACACCCACTCGTACCTTTAAAAGCTCATAGTGACAACGCTGCTTTTGTGCAGTTATTCCCCCAGACACAATCAGTGCAAAGACTTTATGACGTAAGTTTTATTTTTGGATACAACAGACCAGCTGTAAAGAATTCAGATCAAACCAGAAGGAAGCAGTCGTAATGTAGTCCAGCAAACAATAGTTTTCTTCGCATTACTAATAGTAATAGCTTAAACATTGTATTGTCACTAACAAATCCTAGAGAAGACCAGCTAATGCAGTACCAAACAAACTCGCACAGTGATGATCAACATTCAACGACGTACCGAGCTTACAGAGGGAAAATATATTAAATTGTTGTATCTATAAATTAAAAATTCTGAGGATACGATAAAAATAGCGATAGATATAACTGATCATTATATTACTGTATTATGGCTTTAGTCACTGAAACAACAATCATGGATAAACCACGCCATCTATTGTCATCATGATAAATAGTGCATAACTTTCTGAACCCTCCAAAATTAGTACTAAACATACTTAGTATGTACCACATAATCATTTCCTGCTCAACAAGAAACTTACAAAGGTTGCATTACGTCAACATAATATATGTTTTGTAATGGTCACCTTTACATTTGGACTATTGCAGTCTACGTATCGTCAAGTTAATATGGAAGATAGAGCAAATCTTTGTCGCCTGACATGACCACCAATAACAACGATATATTTGAGTAGCATTGCCAGAATGCAGTACATTATCTACTTATATATTAAATGTAGGTCAATGGCGTTTATCGAATATGGCGTTTTACTGAGTCCGGCGTTTGCTCTGCTCATGCAGTCCTGGAGCGGGCGCACGTGTACCCAACCGTGACGAACTCTGGGTTGGAGGAAATCTGCCAAACTCCTTCGCTGTCCTTGCGGAGGACGTTGAGCTTGTACTCCACGGGCAGGCAGCGCAGGTCGGCCCGAGGAGCCCCCGTGGCCGGGTCGATACAGCGGGACCCCGTGTGCGTCTTCACCGCCACGCGCAGGGTGTGAGGGAAGCGGTTAGCCTGGGTGTCGTCCTCATACCTACAGGGCGAATGATGTCAGAGTCAGAAAAGAAAGACTGGACCGACAATTTAGAGGACAAAACTGGTCAAACTGGTTGTAGAGGAAGTCAAAAGGGAACTCCGGGAAAATCCCTGTGCAATTAAGGATAGGAAATATTTTACAGAAGAACCAAAAGACATTTTCCCACACAAAAATGAACAAAAAGGGAACTTTTGCACTAATGAATCTTTAGATAGCTTCTAAAAAAAATAGACATCGTAAAAGGATATATGCAAGAGAACGAATATTGGATGTGACTAGTGAACTCAATAAAACAGAGCATTTTCTCGAGCAGTCGAACTCACCTCCATGGGCAGACAGAGCGGCCTTGGACGTTGTTACCGTCGTCGAAAGGGATCGGAGGCAGGGAGATGTGCCTTCGGTAGTGCTCAGGCAGGACGTCCTCGTCTGTCACACTCCTGGTCCGGCGGGAGTGGACGGCGGCGTCCCCACGGCCAGCCGAGTACTGGGGCCGGTCCTGAGCCAGCCTTGCCAGCAGTCCGTCCGAGCTCACCTCTCCTTCTGAACGATCAATGTTGTTGAGTTGAAGAAACTTGTCAAGAATGTCTTCTGTCGTCGCGACAGACTTTCCCTTGGTCTGGTCGCTCCCTGAGGCTTGTAGTAGAGCCGTGGCACCTGATGACGTAATGGATCCTAAAATGTCATCATCTGTACTGGACTTTCGGCTGAGGTCGTTGAAATATGTTGGACGGGCCGACGTCATCAGGGCAGGCGTCAATACAGCGATCGTGAGCGCGAGAATCTGGTGTGAAGAATGGAAGAAAATTATCTACCTGAACGTACAGGTACAGGGCCACGTACAATATGACTGGTCTATGGTGTCATTGTACACGTAAATTGACGGGTCTCAAGGCGTTCTGTTTTATGAAACGATATAAAGACTTCACGGTACGAAGCAGAAAGGTACTATCTACATGTATAAACATTGGAGATATATGATATTGACGTTGCACACAACGGCACATTGTACTAGTCTGTCAATGATCATGGACGGGCTTAGTTGGCACAAAAACACAAAAAGAAGAAGGGGCCTTTAAATAGAAGAAACTTTAAAACATGAGGGTATATCTTAGTTTTATGTGCTATAGATCGTTTGAAACAGAAGGTTGAAAGTAAAAGTAAATACTCACAATCGGATGTCCCATGTCTATTGGAGTCTTCTCAGGTGATCCCGTTGGTAGCTATGCGCGCAAGATGCTCGTCTGTGTCTCTGAACCAAGCTCGACGGACGGTCCCTTATATACGTTTAAACCACCTGTTCTTCACCTGCCTGGGGGCAGACAGACCTCCTTCAATCAAACCTCCCGCCATTTCTGCGGGACTGTCCCTATCCGGAAAGGCACCATGACGACACGCGTCGTCAAACAGGTTTCCCATTGTTCTCTGGATCGAACGAGGCTGACTTACTTCCGATACCCGGTAAAGGGCACTCACATTCGCAGTAAGACTGACACAAGGTGCAGAAAATAGAACACCCCCATGACTAGATTTATGCAGAACCCAATTATCATCGCAGGAAAGACGAGAGATTCCCTCTTCTATTTTTAAGACCTGACGTCGATTCATACAATTAATTAAAGAATGACACATGACACGTGCTAGCTGCATGGAGGAGCTCATGCACTTTGTATGTACGTAGATTATGATATCATGCAGAATACGACTGATACAATGTATGTGAAAGATTAAGAGTAAGTGCCAACGTTCTCATTTAGTGTTACTTACAACTATATATCTCGCCAACTTTATGATGTCCTTAATATTTTCTAAAGCGCCTAATACTCATTTGGTATAATTATGACACATAAAATGATCCAGTTCAACGTTGTCAGTTTTTATCTATTTATGGCGTTATTTCCCGGGAGTGTTAGATTGACATGACGTAGTTTCGTGGGGGTGTTTAATACATTGACATTGCCGGTTATTTTTAATGGAAAAACTGAATACTCCATTTAGTCATGAAAGACAACCTTTACGTCAATCCAATATAGGGTGATGCACCCATTATATGATTAAGTGTAATTTAGATAAAACTGCAAAATGAATCATCTAACGTTGATCCACGTGTGCAGGGATCAACGTCATGATAACAATTATTCATCGTCATGTTCCTTAAGATAGGGATGATGCCCTTGATGACAGTCATCAATATTCTGAGAATCATTCTCTTTATCCAGTTGCCAAAGAGATGCTGTGTTTGAAACGACTGAAATTCCCAATGAACATATTTCTCGGAGCGTCAGTGGCACTTTGATTATTAAAACTTTCTACGTATTGCGAAAATCCCATGGTTATGATAGAAAAAAGAAAGTGTATACGCAAAGTCATGTTCTTAAGTCAGTTTTACACGACACAAAAAGTTACAGTCACAGATATATAAGATTCTCCTTCATTGGCTATGGGCGTTTGGGCAGTTTTGGTGTGGTAGTTGGAATTACCATAATCTAGTGACACCCGATCCTACGTTAGACCCTTAATCTAACTTATGACATGATTAGCACTGCACATGCTAGGATGCTATGATTATTAACTGTGCGTATGTTGCTTGAACTGTAATTAAACATTAAACATGAAGTTTGTGGGAAAGGCCCCTGTAACTACAAACGATTTTACCGCCTCTTTTCTACGTCAATCCTCACCAGCTTGTGCGTCTAGGAGTTCAACTTACATATCCGTTCGTCACGAGAACCCGCATAATTATCAAACGTCGTGTTCTATCTAGACAAAGAGAACATTGTAGACACGAGGGTCAAGCAATTACGCTGTTAGTGGCACACGTATTAAAATGGGGAGAACTGACACCAAATGAAATACAATGTCAAGGGATTCCATAGTGGATAGATCGTAGAGATCTACACTGTAGAGATGTACTAGCACTAGTATCTACTTTGCGATATAAACTGCTGATTTCATTGTATTAGTATTTATGTAAAGTTCTTATAACAGGAACACGCAACGTTTCAGACACGATATTGTCTGTTTCTCCAGGGGAAGCCGGGCTAGCTAACCTACGTAACCTTTGACGTCATTGCTCCAGTCGGTATATATCAAGGCCATACAGTTTGTGTGAACTCATCTGTATGTGTATAACCGGGATAACCACCCATCGGCGTAACACACCGGCCACCAGTCATGTGTGCTTTATCCATGGCAACCATGTTCTAAAAATATCTCACCGGATTTTATGTTCAAGTTAAGTACGCCAAAACGGCAAAAGACAAAGAAGATCCCTTAATATGCTATATATATCTCCAGACCATAGCTATATATCTAATTTCTATGTTTCTAGTTCCATCAATAAGATTAAACAACACCACTCAATGCACAAAGGACTTTTCCCACTTTATTCCATGTGCATACCATTTCTATCAAAGGCACATTCGCCGATGGCATCAGAAAATGCGATCAGTACGTCTTCAAACTCTAACAAGATTACTGGATTTTTTAAAATGATTGTCATTTGCCCTATTGTCAATAATTATATTGGCCAGCCGAGGGTGAGAAATTAAAGATTATATATTTAGTGTACAGTAGAAAATTACTACAGATAATTTATGACTTGGTAGCATATTCATTACCTTAAACAACAACATTGCACCAGAAGCAAAAGAAGAAGTTAAAAACCAACTATCCAGCAGCTAAAAATGATTAAAACGCTGCAATGAAGGCAACTACTTCATACTGGGACTGTTCCCAAGGATATTAGTCAACGTGACTGAAAGTTTTTATTTCTGGTGAATCATCACCACATATCTATCGGAAGGTTCTGCCTCATGGCTTGTGGATATTTGCCATAGGTAAATGTGGGCGCTAGTGCAGTAGCCTGGGTTCTAGAGTGTTTCCAGGGTCTGCACAGACCAGTTCTTCGGCTCTAGGGACAACATGGCCCCGAGGAAATGTCATTACAGCCCTCCCCGAGTTAGACCCCTCTCAATGTCTTTCCTTGGGGCATATTAACACTGAGCCGAGAAGCTGGCCTGTGTAGACCTTAGAAACAGCCTGGTATCCAGGATTGTAGTACAAGCACTAGCGTGTGTTCGATCCGGCACACGTGAAGCCGATAGTCACGTACTCCACCGACTCCTGCCACTCGCCCTCGCTGTTTCTCCGCAGGACGTTCAGCTCGTAGTCGATCGGGAGGCAGGCGAGGTCGGCCCGAGGCGCCCCCGTGGCAGGGTCGCGGCACCGGGAACCCGTGTACTCCTTCACAGCTACCTTCAGCGTCGACGGGAAACGGTTGGATTGGACGTTGTCTTCATACCTACAAGATACATAAACATACATGGATAATTTACATGCAGTCATGCATCATCATGACTATTTTTCACCGTAGAACACAATCAATAAATAGTGTTTATTTTCGTCTTGAATGAGTTGAGTTTGTATGTATTGGTGATTGTTTTCTGTGAATCGCGTCATGATCTTCAGTGGTGTTGTCTGAGACTTAAATATCGTTGGGAGGAAAAGGACTGTTACCTCCATTGACACATAGACCGCTCGTTGTAGCCGTCGTCGACAGGCAGCGGTGGTTGGGAGAGGTACCGGCCGTGGTGACGGGGAGGATCGGCGGGGGGAGGGGTTGCCGAGGCCGTGACACCGCGGCGTCTGCGCGACAAGACCGGTCTGTCTTCTCGCCTTGTCAGCGCATGACGTGCTGAGGCACCGTCTAAATCTGTCCCGGGAGGAGACAGGGGCTTTCCCTCCGCAGGTCGCAGGGTCTGAAGTAGCGAAGTGACCAAGAGAAGGATCACGGCTATCCTCACCTGAAAAAATAGGTTTAACTACCATTGAAAACAAGAATAACGATCCATACTTCAAAAGATAATGAAAAATAGGCCATTACTGAGCGGATGACAAGCCGCTGTAATACGTTACTGCCTCGGTTAGTAACCAACTTCGTGCCAATGTTATGTTGGCAACAGATAGGTCAACAGCCGACATAACTACCCAACACATGTGAGCTGCACGAGTTGTGATGACGATTGGAAGCATATTTTGTATACGTGTATACCAGAGAAAGATCCCCACGATCACCCTAAGCTGACCACAAAGACACGAAAGGCCATGAAAAGACCCGCGAGGATCTTGGCAAACTTTAGAAGAAGCCCCTTTGCAACGCAAACCCCTTCATGTTACCGAAATTATCAGGTGTCACAGTTACAGAAACCCCAGCAAAACACCTGGCCCAGAAAAGGAGAAATTGTACTTACAGTGAAGCCCATGCCGTCGCAGTGTCGTTTCGATCAAGACAAGGCCAAGGAGTGAGTCAGGGAAGAAGTGAGTCAGTGAACAACATCTCGGAATTTATGGAGAGAATGACTAACATCTTGCCAGGAAGAATTTGGGGCTAGGTATTTTTGGCGATGAGGATGAGGAAACGGGCATGCAGTTCATTGTACTCTACCTTGAGGAAGACATTAGTAGATAAATACTTAATCGTCAAACAGACATCTCAAAGAAGCACGAAGCAGAGTGAAATGTGATGTTAGGTCCCATTTTTTTGCCCTAGGAAATGCTGACTCACCACCAGTTCTCGGTATATGATTATAAATTGACTAATAAGTACGTAGAAAAGGAAGGGAGATGTTCTAAAAAAATCTGCAAGAAGTAATTAATTTGTAAAAATATAACCTTGACTTTTATTTCAAAACTGTTTTCTTCTTTTCTTCTTTTGATTATTATTATTTGGTGTAAGTGTGGCGTCGGTACAGTGAGTAGACAATCGTCAATTTCCCTGTCAGAAATTAATATTATACGGTAGATCCAGTGTGTTCCAAATATGTGCTCAAATATATGATACACTATGTCTACGTCAAAAATTGCAACGTAATACAAACGACTTGGCGTTCTTATTAACTAGTGTTTTAATTAAAAGACGAACCCACCTTATCGGTATGAATGAACTCCGATGACACTGGCTTGCAGTGCACGTTTGTTAACACCTGAACAAGTTTGAATAGTAGGAAGGCCGTGGCAGTCGGCGCCGTCTCCTACCATTTGACGGGCAGAATTCCTGGAAAAACCGGATACGGATGACGCAGCTAGGCGAAGGCAGATCCCCGGGGTGTGTGGTGTGTGGGGTGGGGTGGTGGCGTGGTGTGTGT